GTGGTGGGCCCCTTTAGTCCCAGCTACTTGGGAGGCTGAGGCAAGAGAAATGCCTAAGCCCAGGAGTTGGAGGTTGTTGTGAGCTGTGACGCCACGGCACTCTACGGAGGGCAATAAAGTGAGACTCTGTCTCTACAAAAATAAATAAATAAAATAAAATCTAGGTTCAGGGTCTTTTTCTTTTTTTTTTTTTGAGACAGAGTCTCAGTAAGTTAACAGCCCTCGGTACAGTGCCATGGCGTCACAGGTCACAGCAACCTTAAATTCTTGGGTTTAAACGATTCTCTTGCTTCAGCCTCCTAAGTAGGTGGGACTACAGGCGCCCTCCACGAAGCCTGGCTATTTTTTGTTTCAGTCGTCATTTGTTTTTTAGCTGGCCCCGCCGGGCTTGAACCCACCAACCTCTGTGTATGTGGCTGGCGCCATAACCACTGCGCTACTAGCGCCCAGCCAGGTTCAGGGTCTTATTAGCTACATTACCTGAGGATAGCGTCTAGTTCTCAGGGTTCTGTGTAAAACAAAAACGCTAATGTGCATTTTTTGAGATGCAAATGAAGTATGCTATCCCGATTTTAGGAGTTTTGACAGAGCGTCTAAGGGATGTGTCCAAGGTCACCAAGCTGCAGCTAAGCCTAGACTTTTTTTTTTTGGGAGACAGAGCCTCAAGCTATCCCCCTGGGTAGAGAGCTGTGGCATCACAGCTCACAGCAACTTCCAACTCCTGGGCTCAAGCGAGTCTCCTGCTTCAGCCTCCCAAGTAGCTGGGACCACAGGTGCCCCCCACAACGCCCAGCCATTTTTTTGGTTGCAGCCGTTATTGTTGTTTGGCCGGCCTGGGCTGGATTCAAACCGGCCACCTTAGGTGTATGTGGCTGGCGCAGAGGCAGCCTGGACTTTCAATTCCCAGGCTAAAAATTCATGCATGCCAAATTTCCATCCTCCTGGAGTGAAACCCTGGTATATACTCTGAGTGACTTGCCCCACACGCTAAGTTCATGCTTTGTCTGATAATGTATTAGTCACTATCCTAATTCTGCCCTAATTTGCCTCCTAGTTTCACATATACGAGTTATCTGCAGCCTCCCAGACAATGGGGCCATGAGATTTCGTTTTCTTTTTTTTTTTTTTGAGACAGCGCCTCAAGCTATCCCCCTGGGTAAAGTGCCATGGCATCACAGCTCACAGCAACCTCCAACTCCTGGGCTTAAGCGAGTCTCCT